AAATATTCCAGCAGACTCTTAAATTAAAAAAGAAACAACAACAACTGCATAATCATAAGAATCATTTTTATATAAAAAATAAATATATAATCTAAAAATATGCTAAATAAAATATTAAAAATAAATTATAAAATAATCAAATAAAATCATAATTCTAAAAAATGTATTAATCATTGAAAAAATATATTAACTAAATCAATAAATAAAATATACAAAACAAATACATAATAAAGACAATAAATATAATAAAATAATTAGTAAAATGCTGTTTAAATTGTTTCAGTTGGAATACAGCATGTTATATTTCTCAACATTATATTTGCATAATCTCAAAAATCTATTTTCACAGGCTGTATGATAGTTAGTGCTGTGTCCAATCATTTTCTTTTATTTTTCATCATTTTAATCTCTTTTTTGCCAAGTTCATTTTAAACCATCCTGCAGTATGACAAATTATTTTTTAAAGTACAAAAAAATTTAAATAATCCAACAGATTCTAAATAAAAAAATACACAGTTATAACAATAAGTAGTATTAAAAAATTTATATAATTTTAAAATATATTCAATACAAATATTAAATCATACAATAATTAGAAAATAATTAGTAAAAAGCTATTTAAATAGTTTCAGATGGAATACAGCATGTCATAAGTATTTCATCTGAACATTCCATTTGTATCTCAAACCGTTTTTCACTGGCTGAATTCAACAGATCAGATCCTAGACTCATAAAGCTGTCGCCATGAATCAAATATTGCAAATATATATAAAAAGAAGTGATATAAAAAGAAAGAGATTATAAGAAAGAGCTTTCAGTCTCTGCAAAAGTTAATGAGGTTCCATGCATTTTTAATGGATCATTGTGACAAATTCCACATCCAATCACCGCTGTCTTAAACATGAGAATATGTTGTGCATTTGTATCCATTTAAATCTATATGCTGCAAATGAATGAAATAACTCCGGTTAAACCAGTGATTATGATGTTATTGTTTTGTTTACATTTTCAAAGCTTTACTTGAGTAAGTAAACGAGCTTGGGGCAGAAAGTGTGAGTACAGTCATTTGATGGATGTGACTGACCCTGTTTATTGGGCAGTGAATGATCAGCCTCTGTGGGCGGGTTAATCTGATAACAAGCATGGCAGAAATATCTCGTAAGGAACTAAACGCAATCACTCAGAGGCTGGTCAGTGCTCAGACTGGTGACTATGATTGATACACGGACACACCATCCATCCCTCGACAGGAACAAAACGGGCGACGTTTGCTGCACAGATTACGCTGATCTCAGCGCCGTAACACAACGGCATTAGACAAGAGCTCCTGCGATGGAAAAGAAACAGGCCGTAATGCAGGTGGACGTCAAATATTTGAGATGAAAATGTCTTATTTACATGTGTCTTGTAAGATACAGCTGCGATGGCAAGCCCTAACAAAACCAGAGGCAAAAAGTACAAAATTTATCGAGGTCAAGTTTTTTGCATTTTATTCAGCACACATTTCATGTGATCTGTGCATGCCACTCTCATCTCTGCCACCGTGATGTTCACGTTTACCCTTCCCAGAACAGATTGCCACAATGCATGTAATGATGGCCCTGCCCAGCTGTGCTTCAGAGGGCCAGTGGATGATAGTATTTCCATAATAATCCACCCTCGGCTCCCAGGGGCCCTTTGAGAGAGGGATAGATGGAGGAAGAGTGGTGTAGCGGAGCCACCGTCGGGCTGAGTGGAGCCTCATCTGCGGCGTGGAAGGGTGGGGGCGGCACGAGCGAGTCGTGTGGCTGAAGCAGCCTGTAGGCAATGCAATAAAATCACCGCACGCTGCTCCTCTCTGCACCGCGACGCATGGCCCACCGCTAAAACTGCACCCGCGGAGGAGAATAAATTTGAGGCCGGAGAGAGAAAGAGAGAGGAAGGGGGCGGCGGCACAGCTAGAGAACAGACTTTGATACTAATAATTGGGGTGGCATGCTCTCCATTAGAGGAGTGTTTATATGCATGCATTCATTTTGTGTCTGGTTTTCGTATTAGGGGTAGTTCACGCAGGATATGTATTCTTGTGTTTAGCATGTGTTGGTATATGTACGCATGCAACCAAATAGACATCTGGTTGAGCCTTTCTGTTTTAAAAAAAAAATAGCTCCAGTTTTGACATGCAACCCAGCGGTTGTCGTTTTGTAAAAAATGTCCAATCAGATGAATTTGAGGGCGGGACAAGCATTTTAAGTGTAGAGCTCTACGTTTAACAGTTTTGAAGTCTGTAATTTCTTCAATACTGGTGTGACCAAACACAAAAAAGTGCAAAAAATAATGCACATTTCTTTTCCATTCCTGTGTTTTAAGCTGGAGTCGAGAGCTTTAACGTTACAGAACACTTCATCTGGTATGAACATTTCCAAATATGTTTTTTCTCTTCTTTGCAAGCTTTTAGCACAGTTTCTGACACATAATGGATAATTCCCGATTAATTCCAGTTGCTGTGAGTTTCAAGTCATGATGCAAAATTGAAGGTTAAGAGGCTGCCCTGACTTTTTGTTTCCAAACATGTTTCCAAAACTCTATCCCTGTCTGTGACTGGTTGAACAAACAGATGGTCCCGCCCCTGATCAGGATGTACAAGTAACAGAGCAATGGGTCTCAGTCACTAACAGTATTTGTGCGTACAATAGTTTTCATGAACAAATAACTTTTGTTCTAAAATTGATTCAAAACTCACGAAAAAAATGTAGGAACAATTAAAACCAAACAACCTTTGCAATCAATCAATCAATCAATCAATCAATCAAACATAGTCTGGGTAACTGTGTTAACATAATATTTTATATAATTTTGAATGTATTTAATCAGATGTCATGAGCAATGATTAAATTCAGCTCTTTAATTCAAACTTTAGTTCTAAAATTCATTTGAAATTTACAAAAAATTATAAGTAAATAAATAAATAAATAAAAGTAGGAACAACTGAAACCACATATGCAAAAATAAATAAATAAATAAAATCAATCACATACTCTGGGTGGCCTTATAAACATTTTAAGATTAATTTTTTTATATAGATATTTCATTTTAAATGTATTTTATCATATTGTGAGAAGTTCTCCTGTGCATACAAATATGAATAATCCACGCACTTATTAGTGAATGAGACCCAACAGGCGAATCTACCTGTTGTTCCTGTGTTTTACGCTGGAATAAAATATAAAACATACATACATACATACAAAAAAAAAAAAAAATTACAGAAGTATTTTTATGCAAGAGCATATCCAGTGTGGACATTTCTAAAGATGTTTTCACTCTTCCTTTGCAAGCTTTTAGCACAGTTTCTGACACATAATGGATAATTCCAGATGCCGTGAGCTTCAAACCATGATGCAAAACGTAAAGAACCGGATGCTGCTCCGACTTTTAAAGGGCAGGGTTGCGAAAGGGCAATGAACGGCGTCTGAGCTGTGGAGGGGACGTCAGCCGCGGCTTGACTGTGGAGAGAGAGCCGAGGCTTAGGAAAGAGCCCCGCAGACAGCAGGGGCCCCTCATCTCCATGACACACTCTCTGGCACCACATCGATCGCGGTCAGGGGCCACGCTAATCAATACATGGAGCCTGCAGGAGTGCGGGGGAAAATGTCTTAATGTCCTCAAGATGTGCACGACTGCAGGTTACACTCATTCTGGTTTGCCTGCGACGCAAAAGCCATTGGCATGACGTTTGTGTGTATGTGTGTGTGGGATCAGGTGGGCGATAGAGAGAGAAAGAGAGAGGGCAGGCTAATTAATGTAAGCATTTGCCAGTGATTAAGCTTTAAACAGAAAGGTCAGCTGAGCAGCGGAGCAAGGCCTGTCCCAGTGCCTTGCTCTAAGGGCAGTCTAAACCTTTCCAACTTAAATGGTAAAGATGCCATTTCACAATGGGGGAACATGGGACACATGTAGGCCTGACACTCGGGTCATTGGCTCGCCACCCTCCTTTACCCGGCCAAGGCAAATGTGCCGATCTGTGTCATTTAAGGGATGAAAAATAAGGCCTCCGACGAGATCAATAGATCCTGTGGTCCTCAACCGGCTGTGATTAATTGACTGTCACCAATTAATGGGGGAAAGATTACAAACCATTGTCTGAAGCATATGTGGGCAAAATACAATCTTTAGAGAATCGGAACGGTTCCAATAATATGATTTGAACTAGATTTTTAAATGTTCACATGGAATTGCAAATTAATATTTTCAAACAAATTTATGACGTAAACTGCCATTGGTTTTTCAAACATACAGTTATGCATCAAATCAATTATCATGACAATAACCATCATGCATCCTGTCTAACTAATTGTAGCTGGTTTAATACATAATCAAAACATTAGGATATTAATTATATTTATTATAATATAACAAAATATGCACTTCCATTCAAAAGTTTAGTGTCAGTAACATTTAAAGAAATTAATATGCATTCAAGGATGCATTCAATTGATCAAAAGTGACATTTATAATGTTATAAAAGATTTCAATTTCAAATAAATGCTGTTCTTTTTAACTTTCTATTTATTAAAAAATCCTAAAAAAATGTTTTCAACACTGATAATAATAAGAAATTATTTTTTTTATTTTTTTGAGCAGCAAATCAGCATATTAGAATGATTTCTGAAGGATCATGTGACACTGAAGACTGGAGTAATGATGCTAAAAAACGGCTTTACATCACTGGAATAAATTACATTTTAAAATATATTTAAATAGAAAACCGTTATTTTAAATTGTAATAATATTTCATAATATTACAGTTTTTACTGTATTTTTAATCAAATAAATGCAGCCTTGGTGAGCATAAAAAACTTTCAAAAACAATTTTGCAACATCAGTGTGTAATATAATAAACGAGCCATCAGCAATGCAAATCAACCCATACCTCTCTCTTAACAACAGAAAAGATGACCTTCTAATCTCCGAATGGGCCTTTTTCTAGACTCATGTGATGAGGTGTTTCACTGCGCTGGATGAATCATTTCACTGGAGATTTGGTGATGAAATGGACGTCTCTTGTTGACACAGCTCTTGCTCCACTTACGAACGATGAAGTGAGTAGCAAGCGATTTTTGTGTGTATTTCTGAGATGCTGATCTCACTGACAGGAGACAAAAGGGGAGGGAGGGGGTCTGTAAAAATAAGAAAACAAGGCAAATTTATGTTATTATGTAAGCGCATGCTCAGCAGTTTGGTCTTTGCACACAAATGCGTGCAAACTCTCTCTCCAGGAATGTTTCCACATGCAGATGTCTAATTCTGAGTTTCAGACCAGCTGGCGTACAGTT